TAAAGTACGTCGTTTAAAGAATTTCCGGTTGAAGTTACAGTAGAAGCATCCAAAACTACGCGGATCTTGTCAGAATCCTTTTTGAATACCGCATGGTGTGGTAGATAGTAATGCATACCGGAGTGATCGAAATTTGTTACAGCTGCATGACCTAATGCGATATACTCGTTGATAAAGTCAGAGTACTGTTTTTTTAAAATAGTATTTTTTTTAAGCGAGCTTCTAAATGCAAAAAGCGACGTTTGGCTTGTTGTAATGATAAACCAAGATTTACATCAGCATTGGGCTTTAAAGGCTAAGCAACCACATAACTTCCATCAATATCTCTAGAAACATTTTCCAAAAAATGACGCTCGCAAATTTCATCGTCGCTTGATAATGAATAATTGTCATCTACCTCATCGTTTTCCCAAAACCTTGCTATAGAGTTTGTTAGCTGGACGTTATTAATGGAAGCCGTTAAGTTATCAACTGGACCAGAATTATTTCCGAAGTTTCCAGCTACAGCCCAACCAAAAACTGTATTTTGTAACACTGGTTTATCTTTTCCAAGCATAATTTTCTTATTTAAAAGAATTTCAAAAAATATGTCGACACCTATTTGAAATTGTACAATAAATAAAATTACTGGATCGAACTGATGCGCCGTCAACGCCACTTAAAAGTAAATTTGTATTAAGTAATTTAAACCCGAGTTTATTAGCAAGATTTTTCGTTATGATACTAACTTCTGAGCCCGAATCTAATAAGGCTCGTATTTTAAGAGGTTTGTTGTTTACATCTCGAATAATTAAAGTAACAGTAGGCAAAATAGTGCAATTAAAATCTGCACTAAAAAAAAAATAGTGCATAACGTGCTATGCTGTAGCAGTCGAAGTTCTAGGTTTATCTACATTAGATGTGGCGCTAGGTTAATTTTCTCTCTCTGAATGTAATAGAGAATTGTGACGTTTGGGGCAATTTTCACAATGAAATCGCACGAAACACCTTTTCTGAATGTGTCCCTTTCGGAGACAATTTGTACACATATTGTCTTGCGATATAAATATTAATCTGTCGTCTACCGTCATACTTAAAAATTGTGCACAATTATTAATGACATGGTTATCCTTACATAACGGACATGATTTAGAACTAATTTCTTCTTTAGAAAAAAATGTGCGCTTTTTTACAATTATATTTTTATCACTCGCTTCTGATTCAAGACCGTAAGAAATTTCTAACGCCGCCCGACTTTGTTCAAGAAAGGTAAATAATTCGGTTAGCGTTGGCTGATTTTTGTGCGCTCTATTAGAATTGAATTTAAGTCGCATAGAGAAACCCAGTTTATTTAATAGTAAAAATGTCAGTGAAGTATCCCAATTATCGACACCGATGTCCAAAGCCTTAAGGGAATTAATAATTTGTTGAGCGGAATTAATGAAAGTCTTCAAAGTGTCTTTAGTTATTTTTAACAGTTTCGGAATATCAATAAATTGCTGTGAAAATGTATAAGTTATGACACATTTGTTTTCAAATTTACTTGTTACGCTACCTTGTAATTAGCGTCGCTTAGTTGCAAATTATTAATAGCCTCAGCGGCATCCCCGATAAGGTGTCCCTTTAAATAATAAAATTTTTGGACATTGGTTAACTATTTATTGTTATTAATTGTTGATACAAATAAGTCCTTAAATCCCGTCCAATCTTTATAAGAGCCGTCAAATTGCGGGATATGTATATTGGGCAGTTTTATTTGCGCTTCGGGAGTTACTTTAAATTTTGGTAGATTACATGATTCTGCTATTAATTTGTCAATTTTGTACGATACCTTTTCATATAATGTTTGAATCACTGACGTCTTATCTGAATAATCATCCGCATAATCATCTAATTTATTCCATATTTTTTCGAATTCTAAAAATTTTGCATCAAGACGTTTTTTTACATTTTCTAACAAATTAATTGGTTCATCATTAAAATTTGTGTTCAATAAATTCTCAAAGTAATCTTTAATGTTTGCGCATTTTTTTAAAAGTTTTTTCACTTCTGCTATTTTAGGTTATTTAAAATCTGACTGATTATAGTTTACAATGATTGAACGCTTTGTTAAATAAACTATCTAATACCTGACGCATTAACTGTTACAAATTTATAAATATGATTGTTACAAAATGTTAATGCTTATAATATACAATGAAATAACAATCGATGAATTGTAACAGAAATCTAAAATTCTGTAGCGCTAAATATAAATTAAATACAAAGCCTTTACGAACAAGTATTAGTTAAAAATGCCAAAAACAAATAATAATCAGTAAAGTAAATATAAAGATAAATAAACAACGATTACAACCGTAGTCGTGAAATTGGTCCAGGAAAGTATGAGCTGCTCTTCAGGAAGGTCCTCAAAGTCAGCACTCCGGATTCAGCTGAATGTTTCTGGTATTGGGTTGGCCCGGTTAGCACGCTGTCCAGGAAAGTATGAGCTGGTTCCTTTATAAAGAGATGAAGTCAGCACTCTGGATGCAAGTTACCAAAATATTGAGTCTCAATATTAGTCGAAGATAATTTCAGTTGCTAATCTATCAGAAAATTGATCTAGTGTGCCGGATGTCCAGGAAAATATAAGCTGCTTCAGATAAAACACCAAAAGATTGAAGTCAGCTCTCTGGTTTAAAAAAATAATTTACTGCTCTTGAGATCTCTAAGTATATCGGTGTAATTCGAATTGCACCACCGTCTCGGATATTAGATCACAAAACAACACGTAGAATTAATTGGCGCGAAAACACTTGCACTTATTAAATTTTATCACAGTTTATCGCGATACGTGCAAATTACGTGCTCATAACACACCACCAATCAAAATTTTACACAAACACAGAATTTATGCCAGTAAATAATCCGTACAAAGTTCTATTAGTTTACCGGTATTCACTATATAAAGCACTAACCGGGCATTAGTCATATTTATAATAAACTTAATATACGGCTCGAAGATGACCAATGGTTGGGCTGGCTACCGTCAGTAATTAACATAAAAGCGGACTGTAAAGTAAATAATTGTTATCTGACGATAACCGTTCCAAATTTGAATCTTACTGAATAAAAACACTGTGATTGGTATAAATCTATATTAAATCTTCAAACTATTACAAATACAGGGGTGATTGAATATACTTGTTGACTGTTTCGCTGCATTGTCTAGACTCACTTAAAATTACTTGGTACAGTGTTCATACATGAAGTATTTAGGTACAAAAAAATTAGCCCTTGTGCGAATGACACAGGCCAGAGGCTGCAATATTCTAAGAATTGAATATATTTAAGAACACAATACCCGGCGCCAAGGCTACGGTACACTGAAAATGTTAAGCCGTCAGAATATATTCTGACCGCCTCAGGAACTTGGTTTATCAGATCAATTGCTCTAATTGCGAAATTTTATATCGGATAAACTAGCCAAAACCTGAGTAAACGCCTTCACCAGCATAAAAATAACTCACAAAATCCGAAGCAATATGAAACGATGTTAACTGATCATATTAAATTAAATCATAATATAGATTTTTCAACCCTAAAATTTTACATTTTTAAGAGAACTTAATTAAAAGAACATTTGCTGAGGGGTTGTTTTTACAATTACGTAACGACAGTCAGAAACAAACGTTTCGAAAATACGGCCCTGAACGAGACTAACACATGGTTCCTTAATAGCGTGTCAATATTTCTTAGAAAATGACAAGATTCTATAGCTTTTTAAATTTCCCGTATAATTTGAACACATGGTAAAAACTGCTTTAAGAAAAAATGTGACATTTCTATCTCAAACTCCGAAGAGTAAATAGTTTCGACAACTTGTTAAGTTATCATGGTTATCAGTGTCTTTTACCATTTGTGATGTTAAAAAATATATATTTTATCAATGTGCACTCATACCATGGATTAATAATGGTTTCATATGTTATATTAGGATACAAAATTGTAAGTGTTTTATTATTATTATTATTATTATTATTATTATTGTTTTTCAATGAAATTTTTTACATATTATTTATTTAGTATTAATTTTTATAGTTAAACTGATTACCATTGAATGAAGGCTAAGATGGATTATAAATAAATATGTATGGATTTTAAATAAATATTTTTTTTAAAAAACTCTCATACTATTTTTATTGATGTAACGCCCGACTTTTTAACTCAAACTAAACATATATTTATATATAATAATAATAATGGGTGTGCTGCCCTAAGGCAGGTCCGTGAGCTGAATTAAACTCGAACTCGATTGAGGGAATAATAGTGTGAGAGATTTTCCATTGCCATTTCAAACCGTAGTGCCCGAGATGGGCTTATATTCAATTCGAAACATATTTTTGATCTGTATTTTCAATTGAAAATGGACATCGCGCTGCCAGATGTCAGATTGCCATAGCGGGGATCAGAACGCGCGACCCTGTCCATACAAAGTCAACCCGTTAACGATCTTCGCCACGAAGAATATATATATAAATATATATATATATATATATATATATATATTATGCATCCCTTCTATAATTTAATAATTAATTTAGTGTTACGGTGGACATCAATACATACTAGTATATTCTGTCGCAAAATTATTAAATTTCAATGAAATATTATATTTGGATCCCAGTAATTTGCTCATGCAAATGCATCTAGTTAATTCACTATTATTTTACAAGTGAACAATCCTTCTGGAAAGATCTTGGTAATTATGTTTGCCTAAGCACTCTAGTTTAATTTAAATTGTTAAAACATTAAAACAGGGCAGTCTGCTGTCGGCTGCCGAGCCGGTAACATCTTCAAATGTAACCTCCAAAATATAAAAGTTTATAAATCATCTTTTTAATCATTTGCTAATCTTCTGTGAACGTCAATGTAATCAAGAATATTTTATGTAAATTATATATAATAAACGTAAATGGCAAATTATGTGTAAAATGTGTTTAATTGTGAAATCCCTAACATATGTGTGTTTAACTTCACAGATGACGCTGATTCTGGAGATGCTATTTATATATCAAATCATCGTTTTCCAGAATATCATTCACCTCAGAAGTCTGTTAGCACGGAATGTCTATTAGAAAGATTGGACTTAACTTGTGATAACAAATGCTCCACGCGAGTTGTTTTTGGATCTGCGGACAATATACGTTACAGTGATGTCCATCGCATTGAGAGCGCCTATTGTGTATTCGAAGATCAGCCTAGATTAATAACAACGCGACCAATAAGTCCGCGGGCCGATTCTGAAGATTTCCGAACTCATTTGGCTAACTTGGAAATACTTCGTAGTGCTTCTAATGTGCTTTGCAGACGACAACTAAAAGAGTTGAATATTATATTCGAGCGGAGGTAGGTATTTTATTCTTCTGATGGTTCTTACATTACTATTTTTATAACGATCACGTTAACTGAAATAATTGAATTATATATATATATATATATATATATATATATATATATGTGTGACTATATATATATATATATATATATATATATATATATATATATATATATATATATATATATATATATATATATATATATATATATATATATATATATATAGTCACTAAAGCCTCGGAGCTTGCACATTTCACAAGTCGTGGCAGAAATTACTTAATTTTACTCACATTTTTGTTCAAATGAAACTATCATTTTTCTCTTTACATCTTACAAAAAATGATAAAAATTCATAGTGTGGACAAGTTAGATGTATAAATGTTAGTGCTAATTTCTAGTGTTGTGTACACATCTTAGATGTAGTGATGGGCGTTGAATCAACGAACGGTTATTTTCAACCGTTTCTTCTTCGTTAACTAACTAACCGTTTCGTCGCAACGAAATAACTAGTTGAAAATCAACTGGTTTCGAAGCAGTTGAAAACATGGCGGCCAGTTAGTTTTTTCAACGATATAGGAATTCGTTCGTTGTCGAAAACGAACGTAGGCAGGTACCTGCGTCGGAAAGGATCAACTAATACTATGAAAATCGCTTATTGTTAGGCTACTGCTTTTATAATATTGCAAATGTACATGTACATCTTAAAAGAAACTTGCAACACGCGCCAAATCGTTTAATTTTAGAAAATCAGTTACATTTATTATAGTTTTCAATGGTTAATATTTTTCATAAAAATCTCATAGCATTTGTCTTGTAATAATTTTTTTAAACTAAACCTGAAAATTGATTTTTTATTTTTCATAACATTTTATATAACTTTACATTTTTATATTGCTATTTTTATATAACATGTAAATTCGATGTTTTAGTATATGGCTTTGCTGTAATGAAAATATTTAAGTTTTTTAAATTAAACCTTTATTTATTATATATATATATATATATATATATATATATATATATATATATATATATATATATATATATATATATATATATATATATATATGATATTCAGTTTTCAGGGCAATACATCAATTAAAAAAAATTGTATGACTTTAAAACATTTTTATTTATTTCATACGTTTCGACACATTGTTTTGTGTCATCTTCAGTGGACTCTAGATTGAAAGAACAGATAGAAATTATTAAATAAAACTAATATATAAGAAGTGATATGGTATGAACTTACATGTAATTGAATTAATCCTAATTATTTCATATTATAAATGTTCACAATGCACAATCCTAATTATTTCATATTATAAATGTTTACAATGCACTAAAAAACCAATCCTTGTCATTTTAAGTTGAACATATATAAATTTTTGACTGAGTTTATATTTACTGAATTTATATATGTTCAACTTAAAATGACAAGGATTGGTTTTTTAGTGCATTGTAAACATTTATAATATGAAATAATTAGGATTGTGCATTGTGAACATTTATAATATGAAATAATTAGGATTAATTCAATTACATGTAAGTTCATACCATATCACTTCTTATATATTAGTTTTATTTAATAATTTCTATCTGTTCTTTCAATCTAGAGTCCACTGAAGATGACACAAAACAATGTGTCGAAACTTATGGAATAAATAAAAATGTTTTAAAGTCATACAATTTTTTTTAATTGATGTATTGCCCTGAAAACTGAATATCACATATTTCAACATCAAAATTATATAAAAAATTTAATATATATATATATATATATATATATATATGTGTGTGTGTGTGTGTGTGTGTGTGTGTGTAATAAATGTGACAATTCACATTTATTTCTTTTTATTCATCAAATCCAATGTCAACTTGACTTTTATAAGAACAAAGTTCATATTACCAACTTTCAATGAAACAGTTATTTCAACTATCAGTTTCTTAACGTTGCCAGCGTTGAATCGTTAAAAATAACTATAGTTGAAAAATAACTAGTTATTTAACTAGTTGACGAAACCCCGATAACCGTTTCGTTTCGTTGACGGCAAAACCGTCAACGACCCACCTCTACTTAGATGTAACCTACCAACGTTAATGTAAGTCTATTCTTAAATATATTGTTTTCTTTACATATATTCATGTTTATGTATATGTATGTATGTATGTATATATGCATATGTGTATGTATGTATGTATATATGCATATGTGTATGTATGTATATGTATATATGTATGTATATATACATGTATGTGCATGTATATATATGTATGGATATGTATATATATATATATATATATATATGTGTGTGTGAGCATGTATGTACGTATGTATATACATATATGTATGTGTATGCTTATATGCATATGTGTACGTATATAGCTGTATTTACATAGATAGGTATGAGTATATTTATGTTTATACATGTAAATGTACGTCCTCGTGAATATGCATGCACGTTGCATACATGTATATGTGTATATGTATATTTCCGTAGATGTATATATATATATATATATATATATATATATATATTTTGTAGAGTTTCGAACAAGAATCCAAAAATAATACAAAATAAAAAACAAGAAAAGTTTTTAAAAAAAAACAATTTCTTTATTTAATTATTTTTTTACCTTTTTACAATATTTCGAAACTCATTTCTGATGTCCTAAAAAATGTTACAATCAATTCTCCCTATTATGTTAAGAATTCGTACCAATTTGTGAATTTAATTAATAACCGCAACATCCCTGAAAATCACTTATTTCTAAGCTTAGATGTGGTCAACCTTTTTACATGTGTCCCACATGAATTAATCCTAAACTCAATCGATAAACGTTGGCACACAATTTGTAACTTTACTGACTTTCCGAAAACAGTCTTCACTCATATTATCAACACTATTTTAAATTACTCCTATTTCCATTGCCAAGACAACTTTTATTCTCAAATTAAAGGCGCAGCTATGGGATGTCCCTTATCTCCCGGAATCATCGACTTAGTTTTACAAACACTAGAAATTTCCGTTTTCTCAACTTTAAAATTTCAAATTAACTTTTATATTAGATATGTAGATGACACTTTTTTTATCATTAACAAAAATCTTATAAACACAGTACTAGATCTCTTCAATAATTTTAACAATAATATAATTTTCACACATGAACTACAAAATAACAACAGACTTAATTTCTTGGATGTATCCGTTTACAACACTAATAACTTTGTTCGAACAAATTGGTATAGAAAAACGACATGGTCGGGTAGATACTTACACTATTCCTCATACTGTCCCAGAAACTATAAGATAAACACTATTATTTCCCTTACAGACCATGCTATTTTGTTGTCTCACCAAACTTTCCATCCACAAAATTTATCCCTAGTAAAAATAACTCTAATTGAAAATGGCTACCCAAAAAATCTCATTCATTCAGTTATTCAAAAAAGACGAACTTTCTTAAAAACACAAATTAATTCTCCCAATACCAGTACTAACATAAAAAACACCAATCTTATTTACTGCAGCATACCATACGTTGAAGATTTATATTATTATTTTGCCAAAATTTTGTTAGAAGAAAACATTTTAGTATCAGGCTCATCCTTACACTCCTTCAACCAATTCTTTACGAACATTAAATCCCCCACCCCATCCAATCTCAATACTAATGTAGTATATTCTGTTTCTTGTAATGACTGTGCTTTTCAATATATTGGACAAACCTCCCAATATGTACACAAGAGAATGAGACAACATGAACTAAGTGTGGTCCACCATAAACAAAAAAATTTCAAAAGTACCCTAGTACAACACTCTATAGAAAACGCCCATTCATTTAATTTCACTCCAAAGATTTTATATCACGAAAGTTGCATCTTTAGAAGGTTATTCGCGGAGAGTTGTCTCATCCTCATAAACGTTTCTAACAGTGTCAACATTAGATCAGATCACAACCTATTACATGATTCATATTTAAATTTTTTACACTTTTTGACAAACAATTAATATCGACTTCCCTTTAAGATCAACAATTTAAGTATTCACACCCTGACATATAAAAACACACACATACAATCTCACATCTCTCGTTCAAGTGTTTACACGTGTTACAAAGGGCACACCAGTTTCATTTAGTTAATTTTCGTAAACCAATCGAACAACATCCAGAGAACAATATTATTTGTGTTTTCAAATAATAATTTTAAAAAAGACAAAATTTTTTAGTAATTTTGATTTACAAAATCTAATTATTCGGCGGAAAATTAACTCACAAAATCATTTTTGTTAAAAAAGCTTGTTTAGTGAAAAAGTGCTAACAAATATTCAAACATACAGGTAATTAATTCAACTTTGTCATTAACCTTTTCTTAAAAAATTTCCATAACTTTCAAAAAAATTTTCTATTATGTTTAATATCCTGTTCTGATAATCCACTCATTTATTTTTATCATTTTTATTTTGAACATATTATCATATTTCTGTACATTATTATATTTTTTACAATTTAATTCATTATTTAAGAAAAATCTATTTTCTTTTCCTAAACATATTGTTTGCTAAAATCTCATCAAGATCATGTTTCTTGACAGATGTCCTGAAGATGGAACGTACCTAGTTCCGAAACGTCGACAATAAACAAATAATTAAATAAAGAAATTGTTTTTTTTTAAAAACTTTTCTTGTTTTTTATTTTGTATTATTTTTGGATTCTTGTTCGAAACTCTACAAAATATACACAAATCCAAGACTCTACCATTCAATATATATATATATATATATATTTTGTAGAGTTTCGAACAAGAATGCAAAAATAATACAAAATAAAAAAACAAGAAAAGTTTTTAATAAACAATTTCTTTATTTAATTATTTGTTTACTGTCAACGTTTCGGAACTAGGTACGTTCCATCTTCAGGACATCTGTCAAGAAACATGATCTTGATGAGATTTAAGCAAACAATATGTTTAGGAATAGAAAATAGATTTTTCTTAAATAATAAAT